CGGCGGAGCTTTGCAGCATCTTCCCGCCGCACCAGGTGGACAGCGTCATGGCCCTGTTTCCCGCGCTCTCTGACGTCACCAGGCTGCTCCTCCTCATCCAGAGGTTCCGACGGTCCGGCGCGCCCGTGGGAAACCCCTAAGGAGCGTCTCCACTTTGCCGGTGGCTGCCCGCTTGCACCTGGGCCAGCCCCCCTGTGGGGGCTCCCTCTTCTCCGCAGCAGCCTCAGGGGCACCTCGTGACTGTTACCAAAGGCGCAGGCTGCTCCGCGTCCTGCCGGGGAAGGCGGCTACCTCCGTGGAGAGCGTGACTTCTCTTGCCTGCAAGACTACAGCTCCTCTAGGCTCCCCGGGGCGTGTCTGGAACACTCGGGGCTGTTTCGTCCAACTGCAGTTGGGATCCACAAATGGGTCACACGGTGCATGCAGGGGTCACACCAGCAATGGAGTGGAGTAGGAAATATCGGCGCACACCCCACACCATCAGGCTAAGCATAGGAAACTCAGTTGTTAGCTAGGCGTGTGTGTGCTGTGTACCCATGTAACTTAATGTGGGTCATGGGCATGGGTGTGAGAAATCCGGGTAAATGGTCTTGAATCTTTTGAAATATGTGGTCAGTTGGCCAGTGGAGGTTTTGGCATCTGGAGGTTTTCCTATGAGCTGTTGCTCTTATAGCCTCATGAGGGCAACGCAGAATTCTAGCCTGGATGGTGGGCTCCATTGGCCACTCTGAAGCTGTGTGTGTGCCTGCTGGTCTGTGGAGGTGCAGCAGGGGCACGTTGCCCTGAGGCCCAGCCTGCTGGGCCTTTACCCCCTCCACACAGCGCTCACACATGCACACACACACACACACACACACACACACACACAGGTACACACACAGACACACCATTTGACTCAGAGATACTACCGAGGCTTCTAAACCACCCACCCCATTCCAGTCCCTTTTGCTCGGAAACCTCCAGGTTGGTGAGAGGCGCGCTGGGATGAGCCTCAGTCATGGAGGCTTATTGCCACCTTGCACAGTTACTGCTTTCCCAGCCAGCCACTGCTTTGAGTTTTGGGCAGAAGTGGTCCACCCATTCACAATGGACGAGAAATGACAATGGCAAATGATGTTGCCTGAGCATGGACAGTGTCCTCAGGCATCTCTGAGTGGTGTCTACCTGTTCATTCTGGATTACAAGTCCAGTTCTGCAGGTCTCGTCTGATTTGTTCCTAAAGGGACTTGGTGGCGTGGCTATGGCAGAGGCAGTGAGGCGGCTCGCAATGGAAAGCCAGCTGCCAACCCCTGCAAGCTTCCTGCAGACTGGCAAGAGCAGGAGACACTCTCCTTGGTGCGTTACTGACTGCACCGTTGGCACAGCCAGGGTGCAACCGGGAGAATGTGCTCCTGGCCCTCTAATTCATGGTCAGTGCCGCCACCGGAGATACCGTGACGTGCCTGCCTGTGATCCGTTTCGTCTTTTTAAAAATTTTATGTTTTCATTGATTTCAGAGAAGAAGGGAGGAGGAGGGATAGAAACATCAATGATGAGAGAGAATCATTGATCGGCTGCCTCCTGCACTCTCCGCACTGGGGATCAAGCCCACAACCCGGGCATGTACCCTGACTGGGAATCAAACCTTGACCTCCTGGTTCATAGGTCAACACTCAGCCATTGAGCCACACCGGCCAGGCCCGTTTTGTCTTTTTAAACCAGATTCTTAGCATGGCTTCAGACAGATCTGTTCCTCACCTCTTTTTTCCAAAAGAGGACACGGCACCTTATTGTTTTGGGATCTCAGTCCTGAAGAGGACCCCTCTTGCTAATACATTGAATTTTCCTCTTGGTCTTCCTTCCTTTCTGGCAATGGGCTTTATATTTTATCTTTTTGGTGTTTCTTTTTAAGTTTTTTCTTTTGAAAGACAAGCTTTATGTTAGAGCTGCTTCTGTCCCCTGGGGCTGCCTCCTGCTGTGGCACCACTGCCCGGCTGGTTTGTGGCTGGAAGTTAAACCGCTTCCTTGGAGGACAGGTTTGAGTGCTAGTAAGCTGTAAAGCTATTTTACTTGACTCACTGTGATTAAGACAAGCACAGGACTCACAGGTGAAGAAACAGCACATTTCAATGTAATCCCCTTTGGAATTTTTTCCAAAGTCTTGGTATGTCTTTGTGACACAAAACATGGATGGGGCGGGTGAATGAAATGTTCCTAGTTGCATAGCTGTTGACATGTTCCAACAATAAATCACTTTTACCCACACCTGGGCTCTGCCCCGTCAAATTGTAGACCAGTTTCTCCCATGTCGCTTCCCCCCTCGCCTGTTTTTTCACGTTAAATGCTACGGGTGTGAAGACTGAGGCTGCTTTATTCAGTGCTATTCCACCCTTAGGAGGGGGAGGGGAGAGGAGGGGCTGGAATCTGCTTTTTCCAGGAGAGGCAGCGAGGCCCCAGGCAAGGACATGCCTTCGCCGGCTGTTCCCAAGGACACAGGCTGCTTACCTGTTTGCTAGCCTTTTCAAGTCCTCACTACAGAACAACGGAGTGTTCTCATAAAGGCTGCTCTTCGTGTGTGGACCTGCAGCGGGTCCTTGATCGCTCAGATCTGAGTAGCCCGGTGCTGGACCACGTTCACGTTCACGCTGGCGCAGGTTTCCCAAGGCCCCGGGAAGGTGGTTTCAGGCAGAACTGCAGAATGTTGGGGGTTGAGGGGTAGAAGCCAGAGAAGCCACTCGTGTTGGCACTGTTCCGGATAAAATGAATCCCAGCTCGGGATTTTACAGAGAACGCAGAGGGGAAGCAGTGAGCTGGCTGCCAGCTGGCTCCCTGTGTGCCGGCATGGCTCCCTGCCTCTGGGGGAGAAGTCCCCTGTGGGGAAGAAGAGCATGGGAGGGGGAGGGGGAGGGCGACTCTGGGAACTGGAGCAATTAATTGGAATCACAGATCCCACCCTGAGAGAATGCAGAGAGCCAAATCCAGCTACATAACCCGTGGGCCCTACGAAAAATGAAAATGCAAAGCCCCTTGTTCAAAAGGGATCAAGAATTTCAAGAGGGTGACAGCAGAGCATTCAACCCACCTGGGGTCCTCCTGAGTGCAGGACCCTGTGGGACTGCACAGGTCACTGCCCATGGAGCGCCCTGTGGGTAGGCACCTACAAGACAAGCAAGAGCACTCTCCATACTGACTGTGTCCTAACGAAACAGTGGAAGGAGTGGGAGCCCAGGAGGAGCCACATACACTTTACAGCTGGGAAAGGGCAGGTGCTGGGCCCTCTGGGCCTCACCCTCAGGGACCACCCACTGTTAAGTCTGATCAAATAATTGAATCGATATCGCCCCCCCCCCCACCCCCCCAGGAACTGGCTTTTCAGGCCACTTCACTAAGGACATTCCCTTTGCTGAGACCACATTCCATGATCTCCCCTCCAGGTCTGCACAAATAAGTCTCTGCCCAGAAAAAGGCCGCCAACAGTCCTTTAAAAGCCACTGACTCCCATCAGTGGGGGCTGGAGCCATCCAGGCTCAGCCACCTGGTGTGCGGATGATTGAATAAATTCGTAAGCCCTCACCATTCTGGCCTCGTGCGTTCCTTACCCATTGCATCTGCCAGGGCCCTGAGTGGCCTCCCTGGTTTTTCCTGCCCATCTGATGCAAGAATCTAAAAAGGAGAAGTCAGGGGCTTGGGCAAACCACACACTGAATCGGCCACTTCCAAATGGGTGTGAGATGTGGGTGGGGGTAGCTCTACCCAGGCAGCAAGCACGCTGGTTTGTATTAGGCAAGGCTCTTCGGTTACAAGCCTGGCTCACAAACCAAATGGCAGGAGGCCAGGGGTGAGGAGTGGAGGCAGCTGCGGGGGCTGGCTGGAATTAGGGGCTTGAACTCTGTCAGGACTCTCATCTGTTTTCTTCTGAGTGTGAGATTTAGGCTCTTTCTAAGGGTTTCCCTACATAATGAGAGCCATTCTGTTGGCAGACCTAGGCACACATGCTTCTAGCTAAAGGACTCATGAAGCAGCTTCAGAAAAATCCTGGGGAAAATTCTGATTGGCTGGCTTGAATCACGTGCCCACCCCTGGACCAATCACTGTGAGGCACTACCATGGGTCCAGCTGGGTCCGTGCCCAGGCCTCTGGCGAGGATGAGGGCTGTACTGTGATTGTCAGCTCCCACCAGCACCCACGTAGTTGGGGTGGGGGTGGTGGTTCAGGGGTTGATAGGGGTGGTGAGCAGTTCCCTCAAAGAAGTGGGGACAGTGTCCAGACAAAATAAATGCCCACAATAATGTTCAAACCTGGGGACTGTGCCCGGGTTTAGGATGGCTCCACCCACCCCTGTCCCCAGCTCTGGACCTCCCTGAGAAAGGAGTTGCTGTGTGCATTCCCTTTTCTCTGAGTCAGGAAGAACCTTGTGTCTGCAGAGCTCTCTGTGGGAGGAAGCTGGAAGAGGCTGCTGCTATGGTGCCCG